AAAATAAAAAAAAAAAATTTTTTCAGTTAAGCAAAAAAGTAGGACTGTAGGAGTAATGTTGATATATATTCCACATGGAAATTGCAAGTTGACAGTTCTCGCCAATTTATGACTATGGCTTCGGTAACAAATTATCATTATAAAGTAAAAGATGCACTCTTTACTAATACGATATACTGTAAATTCATTCTTTGTATGTTTCTTATATAAATAAAATATCCCAAAGTGTTATATAATGATTGGATTTATCAATATGATTATTTAAATAATTTAGGTTAAAGTCATAAGTATGAAGTTCATTTTATTATTAAGCCAATCTTTTAGTATAAGATAGAATAGCAGTTTTAGGATATTTTTCCTTGATATTTATAATTATAACACAATATTCTCTATCACCAGGATCACAAATATCACAATTCCAGTCAATTCCAATAATATTATTTCTGAGATAATCCCCAATTTCATCACCAAATTTTTCTATAATAGAAAATCCAGCATCACTAAAAGGTTTCATAATTTTAGTTAAATTTGAAACTCCTATAGATTCACTTTTAGCCCAATATTCTTTCATATATTTAGGTGTTCTATAAAATCTTAATTCAATAAAATTTAAAAATTGACCCATGGCTTCACGTATTAATTTTTCTAAAGCTGAAATAAATTCGTCAACTTTAACTGCTGCTAATTTATGAATTAATGTCGTATTTTTAATGAAATTATTATTATAATAATCTTTTAAATTTTCCATCGGAATTTCAAAATATTCAAGTTCTACCGCTAATTCTTCTCTTGTTATATATGCTTTTTTTGAATCATTAGGTCCTATAGATAATAATATTTTACCAGTTCGATACCATTCTAAAATATATCTAAAAGCGTATCCATTTCGATCAAAGAAATATTCATTTTCTTTAACTTTTACAAATGATCGATTATTTTCATCATTTCCTTCGAATATTCTACCAAGACGTGTGTTTGGATATTTTACTAAAGTCGATGCAAATGTTTCGTACTAAATATTATACATTGTAATTAATGAACAAATAAAATTTTTTCTGTTTATTTCTTTTTTTCTTTTTTACGATTTACCTTTACGCCCCCAATATTTAAGACGATTTTTTTCTCGTAATTACGACCAAATTTATCATCAATATCCATTTGACTTGAATTCGACATTAGATAGATTTTCTTATATTGAAATAAAATAATTTTTGAAAAGAAAAAAAAATTTATGGAAGAAAAAAAATGAATTAAAGGTGTGTATTGCATAATATCAATTTATTTACTAATGTATTACATAAGTTACATAAGTTGATCATTTAATATAACCATAATTGAAAAGTATCAAGGAAGTGTAGGGTCGCTTTCATAACCAATTAATTTAAAAGGTCAAAAAATTAATGGTCACTTCTCATAAGAAAATTAAAGATAAATTTATGTTATTTATCTCAATATTATTTTTTAGCTAATTCTTCGTGTTTGAACACAGTTAGATCAACATCTAGTATATGCGGTAATGATTCCCACCACGAGATTAAATGTCTCACATAAAGAATATTCTTTTAAGTCAATAATACTTCGACGTGTTTAAAATTCGTCTAGTGATTTTATATAGCCTTTAACTATAGTGGAATGTTTATTAATGATGAATGAGTAATCTTCTATGTAAGAACGGAACGACATATCTATAACTATTTGGATAATAAAACTACGCGTTTCATAGCATTTACTTTATATTCATTGCTTGGTCCCGATTTATAGTTAGTGATACGTAATCAAACTAAACGAAATACATTTCAACGATGATCTCATCAGAAATATGTCATATATGTTTACTTACTAAAAAAAATTTCTGAAATTTAGTACATGTAGGTTATCAATCAAATAATCAATTAAAGCACATTTGCAATCAATTATAAACTATTTATATTTCTTATAATTCCATATTACATATTTAAGTTAAACCATTTTTATTTTTTTTTATTTGTTTTTAAAAAAAAAATAATGATTAATAATAACTTTAATCAGATACACTAATACTTTTCAAACAAATTTCAGTAATTGAAAAGGCCAATCTTTCAAACTTATTTGTTATAATAATTACAACAGAATTCAAACAATCTATATATATATATAGGTTATACTTTTACTTATTAATCATATAAATTTTCAAAAATTATTTATTTTAGAGGTATTTAAACTATATACCCCTAACTTTTTAGTTAAATAATAATAAAATTTATACCATTAAGTACTTTTTAATAAGAGAAATCTAATGATATATAATAATTTTGTTTTTCTAACTTTAATATTTACTGAAATATAATGTGATTTTTTATTTAATATATAAAAAATGTTCAGAATTTTATTACAATTAAGAAAATTTTATAATAGCTTAAATATTTATTACTTTTGTTACTATAGCAAGTTAAACAATTCTAAATAGTTTGCTATTTATATCATTAAGCAGTAATATGCATTTATATTTAAAAATTTAGTTGAAAACTTCTAATACAAATAATTTTATTAGAAAATTATATTTCCAATCTTTTTAAAAACATTAATCTTTCAAAAATATATGTCTAATATTAAATATAGGAAAATTTCACATATTCAATTATTTTATTTTCTATTTTATTTTCTATTTTATATTATATTCCAATAATTTTAATATTTTACTAGTATAATAATGTGAAATTTACAAACTTATATAAATAAGTTTTAATTTAATATTATAAAAAAAATCATATTTACCAAATTTGAAAATTTGCCAATCATTAACTATATATCAAATATTAATTAAAATTAAGTGACGATTCATCACTTAACAAGAAAAAATGATCAGCAAAAATGGAATGCCATATTCTTCCAAAGTAAAGTCCATGAATAGAAAACTAATACTTTGGCAACTTTGGAAATATAAAAATGAAGATTTTGCCTATCATTTCGAGTTATTTTCAAATAAAATAAAAAATAAAATTTGTGCAACAGAGATCGTCAAAATTACTGCATTGCAGTAAATCACGTGACTTTTATATATAATTTACATAAACTATTTCCATAGTAAAAAATGGGATAGATAACTAATTGAAGAATCACCTTTAAAACTTTATTTATAGGTGCAGTTTGACAAAATAAACAACTTTTGTTAATGTTAAAAAGTTGATTATTAAACTAGATTTTTTGTTATTTTTAAATTTTTATTTAGCAAAATCAGTAAGTTTTTGGTCTATTAAAAAATTAGAATTATTCATTATGTTTTATAATTATAAATTTATTTTAATTTAAAAATATAGTTATATGTCTATTAATTAAATGGAAAATATGTATAATCTGTCATAATAAAAAGTTCACAAATTTGATGTGCAATTTTTATATAAAATTTCAAAATGCAGCAAATTTAACAATTTCTGTCGCACAAATTTTATTTTTTATTTTATCCCAAAAATTGCACAAAATGATATGCAAAAACCTATATTTCTATATTCCCAAAGTTGTAAAGTATTAGTTTTTTACCCATAAACTTTACTTTGAAAGAACACAGCATTTCATTTTTGCCGATCATGCACACCTGTTAACTAACGGACCATCCTTTAATTAAAACTGCTTTTACATAAAAAAAAATAAATTATAAAACCTAGTAAAAAAAAATTTATAAAGTTATTTTAACTAAATTACTAGTTAATATATTATTATTATTTTAATTTATTATTTATTAAAATTTGAAAATTAATATTTTTTTTAATATTTTTATTATCTAAATAAGATTTTTAAAATAAAAAAAATAGCTACAAGTTATATCCAATGCAAAATAATTACTATATATATTTGTAAAAATTCTTAATTTATTTAGTATAAAAATAGGATTTCGCTTATTTATAATAAAGATTACCTTAGAAAATTAGTCCTTTACTAATGATTTTTACCTTATTTTTTTCTAAAAATTATAACAATATAATATAAAATTTCTTTTTATAGTAGAATTTGCAAAGAATTTTATATGATTTTTACTTTAAACCTGAAAGTAATCTATCTTATAAGTAAGTAGAATTCTGTAAAAACTAACAGAAAAATTTATAAAAAATTAACTATAAAAGAAAAAAATTATTTTATTATTATTTTATTATTAAAGTAATAATTTCTTAATATCTATATAATAATATAATTTTATAATACAAATTAAAGTTGGATGTTAAAATATTTTGGATAACAAAATGTTAAAACTTTTGCCAAAATATTTTAATTATAATAAAATGTTAAAACTTTTTTAAAATTCCAATCAAATTTTAGAATTAAATTTTAATAATAGTTTGGAATTTTATCATCAATTTTGGATTTTTAATAACAATTTAAAATTTTGACAAATTTAAAATTTAAGGTTTTAGCAATTATTATATTTTAAGAATCGAAATACCTTTATTACACAGTTAATAGGTTTAGAATTCTGGTATTCCATTTTAAGTTTTAATAATAATCTGTAATTTTTAACAATAAATTAGTATTTTAGCAACAGTTTTGGATTTTGGTAATAATCTAAAATTTTGGCAATTTGATTTTAAACTATTATTAAAATTTTAACTATTGCTAAAATCTAAATTAATTTAAAATTTTAGTAAAAGTATCAACATTTTGTTATAATCAAAGTATTTTAGCATCCAATTTTAATACAAATTAGTGGTTGGAATCATATAACAGTTATTCGAATAACTTGAGTATATTCGAGTATTCGAATAAGCATAGTGGTTATTTGAGTATTCATTTAGCCAGATATAGTATAGTTAAAATTCTAATTGGCCATTAAATCCTTAAATTTAATTGAGTTAAAATCATAATTCAGGCTAAAAATTATGTAAATTATTACTATAAAAGGAAATTTAACTTATTCGAATATTATTCAAATACACTTTATAAATTTAAATAAATACTCGAGTATATTTGAATATATTTGATTCCAAACACTAATACAAATGTAATTTATTTTATAAAATATATTGCTATTAAATTATTATATAATTTTTTTATATATTTAACTATATTTTATAATAATTACTTTTAAAATTATTAACAAATATTATTAATGAATTTTTATTAAATTTAAAAAATTAAACTAATTAATATTATTTTTTTTTTTAAAAAAAAAAGATTTAAATTATAATAATATTATATATTTTTTTTTTTTGCAAGGTAATACAATTCATAAGTTTATTAGTTATATGAAAGTACAGAAATATCTGTTATGTATATAGCTAATCTATTAAAACTTTAAACCAGTTCCCCATTCTATAAATTGCTCCTGTGCAATATTATATATTTTTATTTTAAATATTTGTAATTAATATATATAATTTTAGTTAAAATTATATAAATAATTATTTTAGTTTTTTATATATAAAATAAAATATCTGAGATACTTACTTTAAAATATCTTAAAATAACTTGAAATAATTTAAATAATATTATATAAAAATAAATAAGATACAGTCAAACTTCTATATAATTATATATAATTATACTTTTTTATAAACTTATATTTTTATAAAGACTATTTCTATTTATACATTAGTATGCAAAACACAGATTACATAATTAATATAAATCATATAATAATACAAAAATATAATTTAGATCTAATCTAAACAAATTAATAAATTATTGAAAAAAATTATAACTCTAATAAAATCTAAATAACTTTAAAATACTTAAAATACTTTAAAATTTAGTAAATTTTGACAAACTTTAATGAACACTTTTATAAATTCAGCTTTAGAATATTTAACATAACTAATAAAATAGCAGTAGAATAAAGTTCTATTTTATTTGGAATCAAATCCTAATAAACCTAATGATATAATAATTTTAACAACTTATTTTAATAATACTTTTAATAACCTAATAGCCTAATAATTTTAATGGTCCTAAATAGTTCCTAAATCCTAATAAAATAGCAAAAATAATAAAATTAATAAACATTATCACAATAAATATAACAAATCAACAAACTCAATAAACTTAATAAATAATATATTCTAATATACAGTCTGACAAGTTGTAATATAATATCCATACTATTTGCATCTTTTACATTTACACCCTTTACTACTTTCTATATTTTCTGCATTTTTATTATTATAAATATTAATTTGTAAGCTATTTTTTAATATATGTTTATTTTTAAAAAAGGATTTTTTTAATATTTAATTATAACTTTTTTGGTAAATATCTTTTATGTTTGGTAATATTTGAATTATTGATATAGGTAATATAATTTTTATTGTTTGCTGATTTTTATTGATTTTAATCTATAT